GATCGAACCCGGATCTTTTGGTTACGCACCAAGGGCTCTTCCAGTTAAGCTATCTGAAACATCGTCCGTAACAACTTTTCAGTCATCTAATAATTTTTTGTTTATCACGATAACAAAAATATTTATTAAAATATAGTCGATATAATTATTTATCAATAATTACTTAAACTACTGCATAATTCGAGTAACTACAAAAAACACTTCAGAAAACAATATTTTATACTTGCGAAGTTATAATTCAGCTAACTATGTATTTTCTCTCAGTTCTCTCGCTTTGCAAAGCATCATGTTCATCAAAATCTCTTGTATGATTCTTCTTTATTTTTATTTTTCTGACCATTTCAATATAAGATCGTGAATAACGCATGGCGCGACACACGACTGGAATATAAGTATAAATACAACATCCATGACGGCACTCTTCAGAATTATACGTCGCCACATCGTCACGCAGCTCACATCCTCTACGATGTAAAATCGAGATAAATTGCACGCGCTAAGTTTGAATAACGAGACAGTACGTTCTCGCGCAACACCACCATCACACGCATCATAATAACATAATAACAAAAAAAAATATAGATAAGAGAGGAAGCATCATGTCGGAGGAAGAACAGCCAGTGTGTTATGTGAACACGGTATTGCAACCACAATTATTATTAATGCATGAAATAAACTAACAAAAGAATGAAATATCGTTCGTTTACATCAACATGATACAAGGGACATTTGTCATTTGCTGGCTTATCGCATTTATCACTCATTGTTTAATGTGGTAACTGCTCATATTCGATTTTATATGAAACTTGTAAATGTTAATCTTTTTGTCGGGCGCAGCTAAAGTCACGTCAAACTTTGAGACACGTGTAGAAAACTTTCTCTTTCCGCCCGTTGTATTTTGAAGCTTGCCGTATTCTTGGATGCTTTCTTGAACCAATCAACGCATTGTAGACTTTTTGGTTAATTCAGAAACAGCGAACGAATTGCTTTAGTACAATATAGTTTCAAGAAAGTTTGGGAAATCTAAAAGTGCACGACCCATAATGCTCGTTTGATTATGAAATGATAATAATAAAAAAAGGTCATTCGGCAGCCGAAATGGAAGTGAATTTTTCATATAAAGTAAATTTATTTTTAATAAAATAATATTGATACTAATAATGTATAACTTAATTCATTGATTAAAAACAAATGAAGAAAATGACTAAATTTTTTAAAAGTTGTACCATGAGGACGGCTACAATAGTTAGATTTTTATGAAATTTACTAATAAAGCGGCTTACAATTTAATTCTCCAGTTGTCTAAACATATGGAAGAAGATAATTAGAAGTAGTAACCCTTTGATGACAAAAGCTATTTGCTCATAAATCCAATTATCCCGGTTTTGGATTATTATTAAAGGTAAATATATATCTACTTCGTAGAACACATCGATAAAATTTCGGTTACAACCAGAAATATCTCTAGACACAGGCTTTTGTCATGGATCTACCCCATCTTACACGAAATCTCATGGATCAAGTGAGACTAGAAATATAATAGCAGCAAGTGAATATTCAACGCCTGTTTTTATGATACGCCATAATCTAACGAGTAGCAGCACAAAGTAAGTGAGTTCGGGGATATTCGCATGCAAGCTAGCACAATAGATCTGAGTCGCACTTAATCCAAGCTCAAGATCTCCCACGGTCGTATGTAAGGATTACAAAAGGTTGAAAAGCACTATGCTTAGGGCGGGTACCACCCGATATACAAGAGCAAAGCCGCAAGCCATTAGCCATAGAAAAATATCGGTTATAATACCCTATACGCTATTATAATCACGTACATATTTTGTTAAAGCATACATGTAGCCTAAAATGTAATTATCATTCTTTCCCTCTTGATACTGACGTTAATAGCTTTATTTTTAACTGATATTAGACACTATCAACGACTTTTCATAAAAAGATTGTATGATATAACCCTATATGGTCACATGATACATGAATTTGAAAAAAAATTTTTTTTTCAGTTTTTCAATTTTTTATTTTCTACAAATTTTTACGTCAATTAACATGTTTTCAACAACGATTAGTTCAGTAGTTGATTGCACTAAGAATCAATGTCAAATAAGTTTCTTAAGACATCAAAAAAATGATTTTTATTTTAAAACTAATCATCTGAAACCTAAATCTCTTATAAGGAGACGATTTAGCGATCATGCGCCATCTGTTGGAAATTTTCAATACTATTTTTGGTCGAAAAATTACACAGGAGTCTATGTGACCATTTCATGCTTGATATAACCATATCAAGTCATATCAAGCCAGATATGTCTTGATATAGCTTATTTCAATATTAGAACTAAAAATCTATAAAGGGATATAACTTAGACTATGTATGAAAAAATCAAATTTTTTGCCGTGGACCTATCATCTTATGTTTGAAAATTTTTTTTGGTTTACGAAAGCACACATTAGATCTAATCTATGTTTTTTTCATTTACCTTAAGGCCGGCGATACATGTAAACGCCTTAATTTTTACCGTTTTTTGAGGACTTTATAAACTGGAAAAGAATAACTGAATCATTTTAAAATTTTGTGGGGTTATTTATTACATATTCAAGTACAGAAAAAATTTTTTTTTTATTTTTTTTTTTCAAAATGGCCGCCGTAAAAATGAATCTGCCGAGACCCTCTCAGAAAAAGACATCAGTTTGCGGGCGTTCTCACTTCTCGTACGGTGATCTGAAATTAAAAAAATTAGTTTGTACGTGTTCATAAAACATATATCTTCTAGTTAAACCACAAAAAATCAAAAAAAGTCAAAAAATCGTAAATTGGCACACCTCAGAAAAAAAAGTTCGATTTTTTACCCTTTTTTTCAATGGTTTTTTGGTAAAAATGGTTAATTTTTGAAAATTTTTTTGGAATTTTTGAGGTTTAACTAGAAGCTATTACTACAAAGTACACATGTAAAAAATTTCATTAGAATCGGTTGAGAACTTTTTGAGTTATCCCGCCCGCAAATTTCAAAAAAGTCGTTTCGAGAAAAACGCGTTTAAAGTTTTGACACACAGAAACAGTATGATTACAGTGGCTTACCGATTAATCAGCGATTCCAGGGCCATATAGAAGTCCTTCGGTACGTTCATAAAACTCGTTTTTCTTTGTAAGTTCCTGTAGACATGCTTGACGAGCTTGTTTGGTCGTCAAAGAGCTGCGGCGATTTTCTCGACTCACCCTTTGATCATCGATTTTTTCTCTGTACGACATGCATTGGCGGCCAATAACTATTTGCATTGAGTTCATAACTCGTAAGATAAAGTTAAATCCATCATTGAACAACCCTGCAGATATAAAAGCACTAATTTCTACGATCTTCAGTCCAGAGTTCAGATGTTTTGGACAGAGTCGCCAGACAGTAGAATTATAACATTCATTTGCATTCTGAGTGTGACCACCTAAACATCTTTCAAGCAAGTCATCCCGAGATAAATCCTCAAAAATCGGCTTAATATGAGTAATATAATATAATATAATATGGGCGAAACCCAGGTACCGAGAATCGAGCGCTCAGTTACAGACTTCAATAGCGCTCAATCGCCGAGTTAAGGCGAAGCACTTAAATGAGTTTTTAATATATAAATAATGATAATTTTGTTTTGAAAATTTACAAGCATATTTTTGAGATGATATTCTAACGATATATAAAAAAAAAAAAAATCGATTTTTTTTTTTTACATGTATCGCCGGCCTTAAGGAGATCCACGCGAAGTAGTCAAATTTTTCAAACTTCGTGGAAATTTCTTAATTCAAAAGTCTGATAGAAGGTTGGCGGCATTCGACGCAGTTTTTCAAGCCTCATAAAGAATCTTTAGGTCGAACTAGAAATTTCGGAGTAATTTCGAAAAAATACTTTTTTAGGTTTCCTTTCCTTTATGATATCTCTCGAACGAATCAACCGATTTTAACCGGACTGGCGGAGGTCGACGTGGTTTTTTGATGTTAAGAGCTGAGTAGTTTTTGGGATTGATTGGTAAAGCCGTTCAAAAGTTATTCCAAAAAAACCACATTTGAAAAAAATTTTTTTGTAGTTTTTTTGCGATTTCTCACAATCTACCAGTCCGAATCATTCCAAATTATATTCAAAATCTAAGTTTGGCCAAGCCCTTTCGAATGGCACCAATCGCGATGAAATGGGTCAAACCGTTTAAAAGTTATCGGAGGTTTACATACTTACATACACACATTCACATTACTTATTTTTTTATATACATTTTTTACACTAGGAGGGTACTTGGATCTTCTTAATGATAGTTCGTACATGTATACCATGGTATACCTTGAAAAAAAAAAATTAAAATAGCATCCTTTCTGAAAAATTGGAAAGTCCAATTTTTCCGCTTTGCGTTTTGAGGCGTGCATTCTTGTTATTTTGATTACGAAAGAATGTCGATTATAATGGAACAAGGTAAATGTGTTGGGTAGGACAATACATGAGGCATGTTGTAGAGCAGATTGTAAATGATGGATAACTGTAGCCTGGGCTAGAATGTATCACAGAAATGCCATGAATACCAAAAGGTCGATGTATTATGATGAAAATGAAATAGTAGACTTGGAAATCCATGCTTATTAAGACAAACGACAAAATTGGATTACGTCAAGAGATATTGAAAGGGGATTTCTCATTCTATTTTACGAATAGCTATATTTATATCTGTATGAGTTCTCCATAGAGTAGTAGAGAGTATACGGGCTCGATGTGTATTGTATAGCTATATAACAACCATGGCAAACCAATTGGATCTATCTTCTTGCTGGCAGAGCGGACGTACTGTGGCGCCCCGTTAATTTGATTTTCTTGGTCGCGTTTCGGTTTCGAGGACGCGGTGACGTTGAGGGTTACGTGCTGCGGGTGAAACGGGGAGACCGGGCAATTTATCAATCCACCAGCGCGAGAGAAGGACTACGGGCCGAGCGGGTAATTTAACAAGATTGATGCCAAGTCGACATGCCACAAAGTTGGCTGGGATATAGTAGAGAAGCGACAGCAGCGTGGCTGAAGGAAGTGAGGGTGAGGCAGAGAGTTGTCGGGGTTGAGGATGATGATGAACGGGGGTATGAAGGGTGATCTAATGGAACGAGTTAAGCTAACGTGTGAGCGACTGCTTATTATAGGAGGCCTCATCATACAGACTATCCTACCGCTTTTGCTACTACTCCAAAATCACGTGCCGAGCGTTAAAACCTGCCACTGTAACTGACTGCGGACGCTACTAATGGGATCTAGAGACCAAAATACCTTGTCAACTCGTTGAGTTACACTGAATTTTTTCACGTCGTTATTCAAGATTCACTGTGATTCTAATTGATGGAGAAAATACTTTGATATCTATGGAAAGTCTAGAATAAGACGAATTTTGAATTGAAAAGAATTAAGATGATTTTGATAATCTTAAAAAACTAAAATGAATTCCTTTGGTTTCTGAGGTCATAGATAGTTCGGTTTTATCATAATAATGAGAGAAACATGTAGTTCTCTGAACTAGGAAAATCTAGTTAAATAGCATCACTATTTAATTGAAGTTCTTATACCTAAAATTATTTATTATATTGAACCCCAACAGTTACTTAAACTATTTTTAGTTAAATATTGGCTTAAAAGTCATTTCGATGAACTTTAACTCAGAAAATAGAGAAAATAATCCAGCCATCCCGAACCGGGAATCGAACCCGGAACTTATGGTTACGCATCAAGAGCTCTTCCAGTTGAGCTATCTGAGATATCGTCCGTAACAACCTTTCAGTCACTTAATAATTTTTTGTTTAACACGATAACAGAAAAATATTTATTAAAATATTGTCGAAATGACTATTTATCAATAGATACTTAAGCTAATGCATAGTTCGAGTGACTATACAAAAAAAAAGTTCAGAAAACTACATTTTCATACTTGTGACGTTATAATTCAGCTAACTATACACTTTTCTCTTAGTGTATAATGTCTGATTGTTTCCAGTATAATCTCTAGTAGAGATAATCAAGTTTTTACTTGATTTAAACCAGTAACTGGCCAGCGGTATTGAGTAAAAACTAGAAATCGCGCCTCCTACAACTAAGTCTTATTCTTTATCAATCATTGATTTATGTTAAATTTAATTGTTAATTTTTTAATCGACTGAACATAATGTAATAACCTCAAAACTTTCAATTCAAAATTGATAATTTTTTCAAAGCCTTTATCCTATAGATTAAAATTGATGGTTGATTGAAGTTAGCTTAGTTTCGAAATAACTCGAAAACATGGACCCTAATTCCTCATTGGTCCAGAATTGGAGCGCGCGCGTATGCGCGCTATTTGAATTCCTAATTTTATTGGATCTCTAGTGAAACTGGCTAATTACTTGACAGAAACTCGATACTGTACTGGCCAGTTACTAGCCAAAATTCGTTTTCATTTTTACTAGAGATTTCTTTAAGAAAATTCGAGTATGCATGTGATTTAATCCTTTAACAAGTTTTGAACTTATTTATTCATATATGGCCTGATATAGAAAATTTTCATATCCGGACATATCCAACTCAAATTGAAGACATTCAACCTATGAAAAACAAGTACCTGAAATTGCCAATATATATATATAAAAAAAACTTTGAATTTCAACCTACAGAAGCAGACAATTAACAATATTCCTGCTACAAACCAAATTTAATCACAATTTTAAGTGTGACCACAAAAGGAAGTTAGCGTTTATCACATCCTTTTTTTGTTTATTTACTTATTTACGTATTGCGGTTTATAAACTTAAGCGGTTGCTTTTGTGTGGATTATTTAAAGATATCCTGTGGCGCAATAAAACAATGATGTCAATATACATGCGATAACAAAATAGCTCGAATAAAAATATCTTAAAGCCTAGTAAGAGCCTCTGCAGAGGGTAACAGGAGAATTCAGGTGTGATGTTGAACAAACACAAGAGCCAATTTATTAAAAAAACCAGACGGGTAAATAAACATAGTAAATAAAAATGGTGTATTTTGAAATAAGAAAAGAAATTGAAAAATTAATGACTCAAAGGTAGAGCTATTATTAAATCGGAAATGCTTATTGGTGTGGGAAGACGGCGTACGTTTATTTGTTGAGTGAACTCTGGTAATAATACAACTGGTGTATAGAGTACAGCCCCCTGCGGCCAAGCAGTCTTATTCTTCAGCGCGTCTGTTGTTACGCCACTGAGTCGTAATTTACCCCGAGCGTTTATGGCATTGTTGTGAAGCAGTGCTTGGCATCGTCTTATAAAACCAATTTCGCGGGTATTATGCAAGCTGTCAGTCCCATAGGTAAGTTATGGCTAACGTCGCCTCAAGCGGCACAAGCGTGCATAGGTATAACTTTTTCTCTCTTAACTTCAATTCGTATACTTTCATTCTTTCCTTGTTGCATGCTCTTTATATACATCTCCCGCTTGCTTCCAGGCTCGTTTGCTCTCCTCTTGTGCCCACCTCGTCACGCACACACTACACTTTGACGTTGGTATGCCTCTAGGCACCACGGACGATGACCTTTTTTCCCCACCAAACCTGTTCTCTCTTTTCCGAACATTAGTTTTCAAATAAATTTATTCCTATTGGAATTTGAGGCTGGAAGATTGAGATAATATAATATATAGGATTTATGAAGGAAAAATATTATTGCACTTTATTGTCTTTATTAATAATAAACTACTCTAGAATACACAAACAAATACATTAAAGATTTAAGTAGTGTAGGTACTCGATAATATTATAACACAAAGGTGGACCATTCGTCACGGGAGTTCAGTTGACACTAACTATGACCGCTGGCAACCCAAAAGTACCGACAGTACCTCAGGTCATAAAATTGACCCTTCCTTGCATCCAAAATATAATATGTCCTGACATCACTGCGTCTACAGTATCGTTGCTATTTTCAACAATTCCAATAAAACCATTTTTGATAAATTATTATCACTTTTTGTTGTCACTGATCTAGATTTTTGTTTTATCAATCGAGTTAACAGACTTTTATAGACTCCAATTTGTAATAATTGACTGACACAATAATAACCCTTGTTAGGCGAAAGATTAGCGATCAGTTTGTAAACGAGATTGATCCTCCAAACGATCCTTTCAAGGGTTTAGTAATCAAGAATCCCAAAGCAAGAAAGCATGTCGCTCTTGCAATGATTATTCAAAAATGATAGAATCTTTTGCACGCTCATGATCTGAAGCATCAGAGAGTGCGTGCTTTACGATCGAAATAATAATTTATGTCATTATATGGCCGCAAAGTGGCGATTTTCTGACAACGACGATGTTGCGATATGAGCTTAAGGTTTGTGGCGGGAATGGACGAAATTAAAATTTAAATTTGAAGGTAACTTTTTGTAAAATAAAATAAAAACTGTAATTTCTCACAAGACTTAATGTTTAACTCAATAAACTTTAGTAGAGAAATTAATTATTGAATCTGATTAACGTTTAACAGAAGGTTAAACGCTATTTAAGAAAATAAAAATAAAATATAAAGTATGGCAACTCCTCGGCCATCGCCCAATTTAAGCTAAATCCTATAGTTTTCATCCATAGAACTGGAAGATGCTCTATACGAAAAGAACTCGAGATAAGATTGGAAAAGTTATATGAAAGGGCAACTTTAACGGCTATATAACCATTACGCCGTCAATAAAGTAGAATCTAGTGCCTTAACGGCCTGGAACGAAATTCCGGATATAGCCGCCATATATTCCAATAAAGTTAAACACGACATCCGGACTTCTGCGTCTGATCTTTCACTCGGTTACTTTGTTTAAATGAGCTTTCATTGTACGATATTGCTATTGATAAGTTCAATATAAGAACAACAGGGTAGCTTAATGAAAAAATAAACTACGCCCCTAGTGGGATTAATCTACATAATATGTATTTATAAATATATCGTATTTTGGTTTTTTAATTTTATTAATTGCAAACGAGTTAGTAAACGACACTGAGTTACATAGCCATTTGGAATAGGGGACTTGTAATTCTTTCAAAGAATTAAAAGAAAAAAACTTTGACTGAATTGATGGATTTTTTTGGCAAGTTGCAGTGTTTATGGGTTCCACACTTGACGTACGGGAAAAATTTTTTTCTCCTCTCCGTGCGGAAAGCGTCAATTTTCCGCTCGCTGCGCTATTTATCTAATTTGTCCATTTTAAAACCGAAATATTAAGCCTAAGTCTCCTTAACAAAGTCTGTGATATTTCGTTTTTGTTTTTTTTAATATATAAATACCACAAATATAACAAAATAAATCACTATTATATTTACACTTTCTTCGTGACGAACTCATGTTTAAAAAGACAATACAAATATATTAGAATGAACACTCAGCAATTGAATCAAAATATTAACATATGACAACTTATCCAGATTCACGTGTAAGTACTTCAATATTATCAAATAACTGAGTTATCAGCTGTTTTGCGGAGCAAGGAGTCTGAGAGTGGAGATCAAGTGATGTTTGTATGCGCAAAAAAGTTGCGCAGAAGCTTAATCAGGACTGGGAAAACAAATTTTAGTACTAACAAGCTGATAATTGTTCAAAATATAAGATACGTAAAAATCATAAAAAAAGAGCACATTCAGTATTTTCATGAATATATTCGTAATTTAGGTACTCGAAAACATAAAAATTTGCAAAAATATCCAAGGCAACACAAAAAAATTTTTTTTTTGTAGAGCTGTGATTATTACTACCGTTAAAAATAATTTTCCATAAATGCCTAAATAAAGGTGTCTTCCCCACCATCTGGAAGACTGCTAAAATCTGTCCAATCCACAAGTCAGGCGAAAACACTATTATTGAAAATTATAGACCCATCTCAATTACACCTGCATTTGCTAGAATCTTTGAAATGTTAATTTATGATATATTACTGCTTTACTTTGCTCCAAATATCATCTCATCTCAACATGGCTTTTTAAAGAAAAGATCGGTTGTCACCAATCTGTTGCCATACACACAATATATTGCTGACAATATATCTTGTGGGAAACAGGTTGATGTCATCCATACAGACTTCTCAAAAGCATTTGACAAAGTAGACATTGCAATACTCGTTGACAAAATAATAAAACTAGGTATACCCGAATTATTAGCTAACCTGATGATATCTTACTTAACAAATAGGAAAAACATTGTACTTTACAATGGTTTCCTATCTCCAGTCTTTTATTCAACATCAGGAGTACCTCAAGGATCCAATCTTGGTCCACTCTTATTTATTATATTTGTCAACGATCTTGGGTCATTATTGTCAGTGCACTTGGACTTATTTGCTGATGATGCAAAATTATATCACTCCATTAATAGTGCACGTGACTGCACTGTTCTGCAGGATAACCTGGTCACATTTGCGGAATGGTGCAGTAACAATAAACTTTTATTAAATCGAACCAAGTGCAAGACAATAACGTTTCACAAGTCAAAAAACCCCATGATATACGACTATTCCATAGATGGGACGATTTTGGACAGAGTCTCTACGGTAAATGATCTCGGAATAACATTTGACTCTCAACTTACGTTTACTGATCACTATACCAACATTATAAGATCATCTATGAGAACCCTTGGTTTTATCATACGTACTACTAAACAATTTAAGAACTATAATGTTGTCAAAGCCCTGTATGTTGCACTTGTCAGGCCTAAACTCGAGTATTCATCAGTAGTATGGTCACCTACTTATAAGATCCATATTAACAATATTGAGAAAACACAGCGTAAATTCCTTAAATATTTTTCTTTTAAAAAGTTTGGTGTATACCCTGACCGTGGATATGATTATCTTACTATGTGTGTGGATACGAACTTACTAACTCTAGAAGAGCGTAGAATTTGTGCATCAATATTGTTAGTATCCGGACTACTATCCAATGAAATTGATTGTCCCAGACTTCTGGAACTGATTCCTATACTAGTACCGCAAAGAAACTTAAGATCTGATCAGCCTTTCTATCCGCCTCGGCAGAGGAGCAACTTTATCCTTACTTCACCTATTAATAGACTGATTAACGCCTGTAATTATATAGTTCAACAGAATAGTGATATTGACCTGCTTGGCTATCAAACGCGCTGCAGCGCCAATGCCCTAGCATCCATCATAATCAACTCTAGACAATTTAATTAACGAAAGTATATGATCATACTCTACTGCCTTAATAAAAATTATATTTATTGTATCGAGCTTATCTATACTATCTTAATGTAATAATAAATATAAATTTTCGAATATTCTATTACATAATCAAATTTAAATACCTGTATTTTAAATGATATTTTTCTATTATAATTGCTCATTGCAACATGTGTAATATACCTTACAACATACACTAATGTATCTTTTTGTATCCTCATAATTGGCCATATGGGCTGTCAGGATTTATTAATAAAGAAATAATAATAATAATAATAAATAATATTAGATATCCTTGATAATAGTATGGAAAATATCTTGATTCCGTTAACTGACAAGGGTATAATAATACAATAGTCGCCAAAATGAGGCGAAAAAATTTTTTGTTATACTCGCTCCAAAAGTTCAACTTTTGAGCGCTGGGTGGCGTCCGAAAAGATACTCATTTCTAGAGACTACCATACCGTCTTTTTTCCGCGGCCTAGGCCGCAAAGTTTACTTCCCTTTTTCTTTCCCCACTGTCCTTGTGTAATCGGATGAAATTTTGAACAAAATAAATCAAATTCTAGTGTATCGACCGATGATTTTTAGTAAATTTAAACTTAATTACTATTGAGTGGCGCTAATTATTTCTCTGCTGGCAGTTTATTACGAAGCGGACCTAATGTTAATAAAATAATAACCACGCCATAAATAAATATTAATAAAAAGATAATTAATATAAAATTAAGTTTTTTTGCCCTTGAGAAACTTCATAAAATTTGAATATGTCATTATTTGCCTCCTATCCCTCAAAAGTTAAACTTATGGAGCGATAATAACAAAAAATATTGTATGTCATTTGGCCACTAAGTGATGATTTTGACAACAACGATTTTACGATATTCGCTTTAAAGTTTGTGACGCGAATATAAGAAAACGAGCGTAAATTTCCGTCCTCGGCTTCGGCCCGGACGTTAAAATTACACCCGTTTTCGTACATTCCCGCCATAAACCTTAAGCTCATATCGCAACATCGTCATTGCCAGAAAATCGCCACTTTGCGGCCATATGACATAAATTACTATTTTCTTCCAAATAAATGACTAAAAATTTTGTTACTAAATCAGTTTAGAACTCCGTACTAAATTCTTCTATCAGTTTTCAAAAGCTCCCCTGTACTTTTAAAATTCAGTTATCAAAACATAATAAAATTGGTGATTCAATTTCATTGTTAAGGCCATAATAATAACATCAAGCAGCGTTGTATCATAATGGTAGCGTTAAGTCAAGGATTGAGGCAGCTTAAAGATTTACTCTTACAACCGGAGCATGCATCCTGTATGAATGGCGGGCAACTTGCAATAATTCAACTCCGCAACCACACCTCAGCCACTTGCCGTCTCGAGCCTGGCGTCGAGGCAAAACCGCCACTGCATCAGAGGACGAGAAACTGCTTTTCGATACCCCTTTCTTGGCATTATCTCTTTCTGTTTATAAATTGCTCATACTTACACAAATAAGCGTATTTATACATTTGCGTTGACAACAAAGAAAGATATCTAGAACACAGTTGCCATTTTTCAGGTTAAGAAGTTCGTCTGCCCATACAGTGCACAGAGCAACCCAGCAAGCCACCCCGTAGAATGGTATATGTATCACACTTATACATCGATGTCGCTTAAAGTGAACCAAGAGAGTGTGAGAGGGAGTGAACCTTGATATATCGGGCGCACACATTGCACTGGATAGAACGCAATATGTCCGCTGAGAAAGGCAATAACCATTAGGTCCCGAGAAAACTACCCCATTTCAAATGACACGAACGGTCGAATATCAGAAAATTTATATCTGGCAACCAACACATACCATAGCTGCTTTCTCGGTACTCGTCAGCTACTCATACCCCCGGTCTGTACTATATACTATTCTTAATGTGTCCATGTATCGTTGGTTATATGACACATCGCGAGCAATATACTTTTGGAATACCTGCTAAGGAATCGGTAGTCGATAAAATTTATCAAAAGTTTGGAAAATCTAGTGCTAGACTTATTTAATTATGAAATAATAAAAAAATATGAAAAATTATTGAAAACAGCTGTAATAGATGCTTAAGCGCCATTAATTCATATAGATACTAGGAATTTAAATTGCGCGCATACGCGCGCGCTCTAATTCTGAACCAATACGGAATCAGGGTCCATGTTTTCGAGTTATTTCGATACTAAGCTAACTTCAATCTAAATCTCAACCAATAAGGAATCAGGGTCTATGTTTTCGATACTAAGCTAACTTCATTCTGCCATCAATTTTAATACATAAGATACACAGAAAGAAAATTAATTTTGTTGGAATAAGTGAAATTTCTTGTGTCAAAAAAAAATTTTTTTTTGCTCAAGAAAATAATTAGGAAGAAAAATATTTACTTGGCTCAGGTGAACCTTTTTTTCCATGTACAGTCTTTTGGTTTTTTTGATTTTGTTAATTGCAATTAAACAAAACTGAGTTTTCATAGCCATTTACAATAGGGGGCCTGCAATTCTTTCAAAGAATTAAAAAAAAAATAATTTAACTGAATAAATGGATTTTTTGGCAAGTTATAGTGTTTACGGGTTTTACACTTGACGTACGGGAATATTTTTTAAACTATTTTGATGTTTTTACCGTGTCTATTGCACTAAATAATTTTTTGAAAAGTATGAAATTAATCTCTATTAAATAATCTTGGCAATCATATGCAAAATATCTTGATTCCGTTAACTAACAAGAGTATAATAAAAAAAATAGTCGCCGAAATGAGGCGAAAAAAATATTTTCGATCGTAAAGCACCCTCTGATGCTTCGGATCATAAATCATGCAATGCAGTATTTGGTTTTTTAATTTTATTAATTGCAATTAAACTACACTCAGTTACATAGCCATTTGGTATAGGGGACTAGCAATTCCTTTAAAAAATCAAAAAAAAAAAAGAATTTGATTGAATTCATGGATTTTTTGGCAAGTTACAGTGTTTACAAGTTTCATACTTGACGGACGAGAAAATTTTTTTAACTATTTTGATGTTTTTTTCCGTTTCTATTGCACTAAATAAATTCTTCGAGAGCATGGAATTAATCTTCATTAAATAATCTTGGCAATAATATGCAAAATATTATAATTTTAACTTGAAAAAAATTTATATTCCCTTCCGCTGAACTCTTAAATACGCGACATCTCAAATTATTTAAACTCTGTAACTCAAACTTAGTATCGTTTCCCTTTCAGTATCGATAAAGGATATTTATACTCTATAACTCGAATTTTAAAAGTGAAACTCTATAAGTCGAAATTAGTAAAATATAAAGACGTTTTTCTTCGAACTGTCCAAGCTTATAGCAATCAAATCTAAATTCCTATAGGAATTTTCAATGCTTTTTATATTCTTGTTTGTAATGTATATTTTCTTTCTGTTATTTTCTTGCAAATCAAGTATTTTCTTAATTTTTATGGTCTTCTTGTAAATTTTGAACATCTTGTTAAGTCGAAAGCTCGTACAGAGTCTACTGTAATAAAAATAGTCGCCGAAATGAGGCGAAAAAAATATTTTCGATCGTAAAGCACCCTCTGATGCTTCGCATCATGAGTCGTGCAATATAACAGATATAAGTGAACAATTAGGTGCAATAAAAAAAATAATAAAGAAAGAAAAAATATAAAAAATAAATAAAATATAGGAATAAAAGAAGGGAGGAAAATGAAAATCCGGCAAGTGTCTTAGATCCTAACTTGGAAATTGCTTTTTCTCGGTAAGCTTTCACATTATCACGCACCATCTTGTAGAAATGGGACCGTAAAACGGGAAACTCGCGGACCTCAGTATTGCTGCGTCCAATGTGTGGTCACTCGAGCACGCCCTCTCGTCCTCTTGTAATGGTGATCTCACAAAAACCCAGCAGACCTCCAATAGTACGATCTTTCCATAGATATTGTAAGTTGAGTCTTCATATATAGACTTCTTTACTGTGCTGAGTATACTTTTGTTAGAAGCACTTTGTCCAGGAACCTAACGCTCTAAAACAGCGCCAGTTGGTGTAGTTCAATGTCTGATGGGTCTCTCAACTTTTATTTTTTTCTCTAATTCTTTTCATCCACGTACCGATGTAATACTTATGTTATATAACTTGGCTCCTATTCTTATGGACGATATTGCGCAAGCTTACTGTCACAACTATATACACGTGTACGAAATATATAGTGGTTAACAAGATTAAGTTTGCCAAATTTTGTGTTGCAATTTACCCTATTTCACAAAAATATACTCAGCTAAATTTTTTACCTTAAATAAAATGCGGAAAAAAAACTTTTGAAAGGTTTTATCCTTGAACTTTTTCCGCATAATAATTTGTAGTTACATTTACTAAATGTTTGTTAGGAGCCAATTCTGTTCGCCAACTAAAGTATTTAACAATATAAAAAGTTAAGTGCAACATCCATAATAACTCATTGGTTAAGTGGAACAATTTTTTATAAAATATGGATTGCATTGTTAATTTTAAAAGTAAATCGAAAAAAATGTATCAAATTCGATGGCTGATACGGAAACATAAAAAAATAGTGGCGTAATTTTAATTTTAAATATATTTCGCGGCATCTCTTAATTAGATGACAAACTAAGGTGCAAGCGCTGTAACTTTGTCACACCTCTACATAACCTTACATCAAACTTTTATCTGTAGACACAGATATGCAAAGAAATAGTCAATTTTTCAGTTTATCTACCAATAATTATTAATTAACACCATATCCTTCAATTTTTTTTATATTACGGCGATTATATTGGTCCTATAAAAAAAATTTTTTAAACAAAAGTTCAAAATTTAATTTTGTAAAAAAAATGTCTCATTTAATATTTTCTTAGGACCAATCAGAAAGCTGTAATTTCAAAATTAAGATTTTCATAATTAGCAAAAATTTGAATTATTAATTATGAATCTTAATTTTGAAATTACAGTGAAAATATTGGTTGTATAAA